GTTTTTTTCCCTTTCTTTCTATTAGGTTACTTGTAAATGGGGAGGGGAGGTGAAATGAGACGGGTTGGGGTTGTAACTGGTGGGGTTTTTTTTTTTGGGGTTTTCTATTATTTTTACTTTTCCTTTGTTGCTAGCGTTGAGATGGTGGTGATTAAGATAATATTACTATTATTATTATTATTATTAATAATGACAATAGTTATTACTGTTATTATTATTATTTCTAACCCACGGTCACATATTTCGTACGAGATGGTGGTGATTAAGATAATAATAATATTATTAATAATAACAATAGTTATTAATGTTATTATTATTATTATTATTTCTAACCCACGGTCACAATATTTCGTACGTAACCGTCCAACCAAACGTTCATTAGTTATGGTTGAACCTGAACCAAAATTTGGGGTGTTACATTTCCTCCACCCTTATTAAAATTTCGTCCCCGAAATTTGCTCGGACTTATCCTTCTGTTAACCTCATTCTCATACTTCCTTGCCACGATCATTTACTCTTACCATAACCACTTTGTTACGAGTCTTTGCTCATCTCGTGTAGTTCACTGTACCTCATATATTTCCTTTTTGAAAATCATAGGTATCCCCACCTAGCTGTAGCACTCATGTAACCTTGAATGACTCAGAGCCCTTTTTGTTTCACAACTTGTCTACTTTTCCAAGGGAAATCAAAGGTCTTCAGTTTGTTAGTTCGATTACATGATGAAGCTTAATATGGGTTATCGAGGATGGTCAATTAAGTGAATAATTGGTGGGAGAGAAAGGTTAACGTGGCTAGAATTCATGATTCGGCTTATTTGGGTTGTTTCGAATGGCAAAGCATATATAGTTGTGGTATGATCAGGATTTTGGGAATAATTAGTGTGTTGGATGGAATTACATGTGTTGGGGAGATGAAGGCGTGAGATGGGTGGGCATGTAAAGAGCTTTTGGAAGCACACAAAGAGGTAGAGCTTGTGTGCATGTTTCAAGTGAGAGATGATCCTGAGGCGATGAGTTCTTCAGTAGTGGTTAGTTCAAGTCAATCGACTCGATCGTAAAGTGACCGTTCAAGGGGGTGAATTCTACGCCTTACGTATTTTTCAAATATTTGCCTTACGTGTTTAAGAAGTTATTTTATGTGAAATTGTGTGCTTGATTATGTTTATGGGTGATGATGTGTGATTCATAGTTTGAAGAAGATGTTTATGAGCTTTGAGTACTTAATTAAAGCTTTTACGTTTCGTTTGACGATTAAGTTAAAGTGTAAGAGAAAGAGAAATTCATAAGTAAGAATAAGTTAACCTCGCATAGCTAGCCACTAGCTAGATGGATTCCTTCCGGACGGTGATACGTTCCGCGATAGTTGATCACTACCGGATTGTGATACGTTCCGCGACAGTTGGTCAGGCGTGGAGTCAGACGGTGATGAGTTTCACGGTCTCCATTGCTTAGATTTAGGTGTGCTACCGGATGGTGGTACGTTCCGCGGTAGTCACACCGTAGTTTGACACCAGATGGTGATTCAATCTGCGGCGGTCAAACCCATTTGAGGGACACCCCATTGTGAGGGTAGTCATGATTAAGAAAGTAGGTCGGGCTAGTAGTGGGGCTAGCTAAATCGAGGTAGGGACCCCACAATATGATAAAGGAAGAAATAATACGTTTTTAAAAGTTAAAGTTTAAAAGGCGGTAATACAAACAACTTCCATAAGTTTAAGTAAGTGTTTTAAGCAAAGTGCTCAGGTATTAAAAGTAATAAACGTAAGGACGTAGACTGACTCCAACTCACTTACCAGTTTGAAGAGCTAGAGGAGGAGATAGAGGAGCAGTTAGAGAGCAGAGAGTTTGAGAGGAACAATTCAGGGGCAGCCAGCTAGAGGAGGGCATTACAAGCGTCACGGAGGATACATAGTCAAGGTTTTCAGTAGCAGCAGCAGTAGAGACTATCTAATTATTTACATTTTATAATTATGAGTATAGACTGGAGATCAGGTTGAGATTTTAAGGATTGAGTGTGCCCAAGTGTTAGGCCGTTGCTTTCAACTACAAGAATGTGATTTCAGTATTTTATTTAGGAAAAAATTTCCCGCTGCTTTCACGTTTATGGTTCTTGAGTATTTTTCAATTTGACAAGGGTATTTTGGTAAATTTAGTACCCGGCCGGGTTAGCGTGTTTCAGAGAGGCCCCAACCATATCCTCCTAGACGACCTGTGGTGTCAGCCGTTCGAAGTTGGCCACCGAACTGTGGCCGGAGAAGAGACCTCAGAGATAATGACGGTCGAGCTCCAAAGGTGGGGATTGTCGAAGAGAAAGAGGAGGAACCGATACAGGATGAGTGAAGGAGGAAATACATCCGGAGCTTGAGCGTGAGAATGCAGACGTGGATGCGACTAAACAGGTGAGTGTAAAGAGGGTAAAATCTATGTCAAGGTCATTTTAATTTATGCTTTTGGTTTCAAGTTATTATCCAGTTATTTTTTTTAGTAATGCGTGATTATGTGTGTGAGGCATCCCACCACCTATACGTAAAGTGGAGGCACGCATTGTGCTATGTATGGATGATGGTAAGATGAAGCTCCGTGGTTGGGCCACTACTAGACGTAGTAGATGTTCGGGTCAGTACTGGACAGCGATACGTAATGCAGTAGTTGACCTGGCATGGACTGGACGACGATACGTAACGCAGTACAATTGCCACAGGGATAGGGACACAGAACGGTGATACGTAACGCGGTGAACCCTAGTAATAGGTATACGAGTTAAGCTAGAAGTAGAGATATTCTGTAGGACACATGGACTTGGACCGTGAACAGGCATACTGAAAGAGAAAAGGGGAGCATTTGGTAGGTTTTAGTTTTCAGAATAAAGGAGGATTTCTAGTGAGAGATTAGGGTTTCCTCTTCCTATAATAGAGAGATAAAGTGTCATTTCAAAGTAGGAATAAAGAGATTTGGGCTTGCCCTAAGCTAGAGGATTGAAGGTTTCTTCTTCTCAAGGGAGATTCAAACAACAAGGAAGGAAGTTAGTCATCTCTTCATGGTTCTTTCTCTCCTTTTTGTTATTTTCCCTTGCCTAGCTATGAAATATGTGAATCCTAGACTAGATGTGTGTTAGGATTTAAGAACATGATTCTATTGTGTTGATTGTGTGTTTCATATAATATTTAAGGTATAAATCACGAATGATTGAGTGTTGCTTGCATTATCTCATTTTTGGGTCAAATTAACCTACAGGCTAGAAATCCCCCTTTAGCCCATAGGGAGCTTAATCTCCTAACCACTTGGGTAACCCCTTTTGGGTTGATCTAGGGACAAAACCTCAAGTATCGGAGTAGTACCATGATTTTGACGTAATTGGTCTCTCCAGTGTCCGGATTAACTTCCGAGGGTTGGGTCTTGCAATCCTTAGTTGGTTAGTTAAGAGGGGCTAGATTGTTTAGCCTATTGTTGTCATCCTTAGCCGAAAGGTAAGAGAGTTAGTCTACTAACTTAATGCAACAATTCTTAATTGGTCAACTAAGAGAGTAAGGATTTCCTCAGTTTGTTTGATTAAGAGAGCTACTAGGTTCGCTAGCTTATTGTGGCAACCCTTGATGGATCGACTAGGAGAGCTTGTTCCTAGATAGTTGCACCCGTCCCGCGGTATATAAACACATCCTTCACACTAGGGTTTCATTCATCGATACTTAGTACGAGACTAGGGGGAGCAATTTCCGGGTGAGGTCCTTTCGTATCGAATTCTCCTTGATTTACTTTACTTGCTTATTTTTATTTGTAGTTTTTCTTAGTTTTAAAAACCAAAACCGTTTTTTCTAGATAACGCTTAAGCGATTGAAATAGAGGTACATGGACCAGCCTGAGTTTGACAATTAAAACATATTTGCCCTATACTGCACCCGACTAGAGTTTATACTTTGGCTCTAGTCGGGAATTAATTCCTGGTGTAGTGCGAGCGAGTCACAATTATAATACCCTTAAAACTATTATCGTATGTTAATGTTAGCTCTTAACAACCCCAACTTATTAAAAGATATATATTAGTTACTAATGAATTGGTATTTAATAACTTATGTGTTCTTATCTATTATTCCTTTAGATGATTAATTTTATTCTTCCATATTAGCAATAGGCTAATGATTTGAATTTTGTAATCACTATTTTAATGCATATTTGTCCAAGTTCCGTTTGAATTTAACAGAGAAATAAGTGAATAATACCGGTATGAAGAAATATTTTAAAGCAATTTAGGAGGTTTATGGTAACTTACAATAATCGATAAATGTGAAATATATATTGATGTGAAATATTTATAGACATTACTACATTAGTACTTAATTTACCATAACCGATAAAAAAAATACATATGAACTCATTATTAAGAAAGTTAAATTATCAAGTAGTACAAAGATAATTGTCAACTCTCTAATAAACTATTGACAGCACCCGAAATCATTTGAAAACATGAATGAATTGATCATTGATAGTGACAAATAAGATGAATTTATAGTTGGTCGTTTAAAAAGCTAGTTTCAAAATATTTCTTCAACATTTCCCAAATATGCGTCTTGCATTTTGTTAATTCCGATTGTTGCGTCAGATATAAGGAATTCTGGGGGCGTGAGGACGAAAGTCTTGAAGAACATATGAGGACAGAATTTAGTGATTACCGATGAAATCCACACCTCGGTCGTCCTCAGAAAGTTACTCGCACGATTCCCATGCAACATTAATCCAAATGATCACTAAAAACCAATTTGCAGGTCGCTCTCCATGAATATGAAATGTTGTTTGTTTCTATCTATATTTTGTTTGGACTTGCTATATATGCGTATCAAGGTATTGAACGTTATAATTTCTTTTACGTACGTACAATTTTTATTTATTCTTCTAATAACTTTCCTCCGCATGTTGATCATCGCATACCTACATTATCCATATATCGCTATCTACATGCACATATATTATATATAGGTCCTTGGGATACTAAAATATTATCATTCGCCTACCGAGTCTTTCTTCGCCATTAGTAATTACTCATCTTATCTATCTAGCTACGATGGGGAAGAAAATGCGAAAGGCGTCAAGCACAAACTGTGATGAAAAAATAGTGCTGAACAAGAAAGCAGTTCAATGCCACAGCAATTCGATCAAAGTGTCAAAGCCTAAAGTCTACATTACCGACATCTCCAGCTTCAAGACCCTTGTCCAGGAGTTGACAGGGAAAGCGGTCACCAGATCTTACTCTCCTCCGCCGTCGTCAGCACAAGAAATGTCGCCGGCGGGCCGGTGGGGATTCGTTCGTGAAGACAACGAGCAACGAGAGTTGATGGAAAGTAGCGGGGAGTCGTTTTCAGCCGTGGATATTGCTGCTGCATATGATTCTCCGCTGTTGATCGGAGGAGGAGGAGAAATATTAATTGGGAAGCACGAGCTCGAGGAGTACTATAACACGGCGGCCGAGCCAGCAGCAGCGTCGTTTTCTTCTTTCCCGACCGCGCAGCTGCCGTGGGAGGACGGGCTGTGGAATATTGAACACGTGTCATGGGATCATGTAGTACAGGTGGACGCCGGAAGAAGCTATGATTGGATGGCGACGAATATCCCGGCCGAGATGGGTGACGTGGAGTCGTGGCTTTTCGATGGTGATCGTTTCCCTCCTATGCCCACCGCTACACTTTGCTGAGTCCATCCATGTAATTAATATGCTTCATTCTTTTCCTTCTTTTTTTTCTCCTTCTTCATATTTCTTACTTTTTTCATTATTTTTTCCCATTTATCGGATTACTATGTGTACGACAATGTACTCAATTTCATTTATGATTATGTATTAAAAATATTTGGACCCATGTTTATTGTTTGTGGATGTAGCTTACAATATTTCAGCTTAATTAATGTTTGACAATTCCCATAGTTTATGGGTTTTTTTTTACGAATACTAGCACTTTTATTCAAACCCCATCAAAAGAAACCAAATACATTACAACATTGGAGCAATGATATTACAAATTTGAACCCAATCCTATTCAACCTAGCTTAGCTAGCCACCCAATCCACAAGTGAGTTCAACCGTCGGGGCACAAACTCCACCTTGATCCAAGATGCTGATTGGATGATCACAACCATCCTTGCGAGAATCGCTCGACTTGCAACATCTCGTTTTAGTAACTCGGTAATTAATAAGTATATTATTTTATATTGACCCAAAAAGACAATCATTAATTTCTTTGTATATCACGACCACTGAAAAATGATAAGAAAAGTAAATCCAAATAGGAGAAGACTCGGCGATGGACATTTGCGAAAGTCAAGTGAGGCCAATTAGTTTATAAACACGTTGGTTAGGATAATCCAGGAATCGGCTATTTTGGTCCTGACAGGAACAGTGTAGTGAAGGTAAATAATTTTGGATCATTTTATTTTTAGGCCTAATATGAACCTGTAGACAGGCCGCCGTGTTAAAATCTTCACAATCAAGATCCTACCTATATGTTTTGGGTTACATAGTGGGTGGATTATACATATCATTGTCCACATGAACAACAAATTTTGGAAGGGTTGAGAGGGCTTAGGATAGGGTCAGTAACCAATGGCTCAAGATAGGGTGTATAACCATGGGTTATGCACTTATCAATAACCAAATCTGGATCCTTTATCTAGAAAATTCAGACTTAAGGAAGGAGAATTAAAGACCATTTTATTTTTTCTAGCTTTCTTAATTGACTCATATCTTTTTCGTTTTAACTCGGATTTTAATTTTTTTTGCACAGATGGAACGAGTTCATCGTGCTCTACAAAATGAGATCAATTTTCAATATTTTCTGAGAAAAAAATAAATTCTGGCCTCTCGATACCAACTGCATACCATATGGTATCTTCTTCGTTTTTAATTCGTTTTTGAAAAAGTTTGCACAGATGGGACGAGTTCATCATGATCTATTCGATCTGCAAATTTCTGGGTGAACAAATTACAGGACCAAAAAATACCACACAATACCATACAATACCACCCTGGTACGGGGTGGTATTGTATGGTATCTTCTTCGTTTTTAATTCGTTTTTGAAAACGTTTGCACAGAAGGGACGAGTTCATCATGATCTATTGGATCTACAAATTTCTGGGTGAACAAATTACAGGACCAAAATATACCACACAATACCATACAATACCACCCTGGTACGGGGTGGTATTGTGTGGTATACATTGTTAAAAGTCGTAAATGACAATTAATATACTTCTACTATCATGTATTCAACCATCCTACAGTCTTGGTTTGTTGACACCACCATGGTATGTTTTTCAAATCATAGGTATGCTTTTATTTCAATACTAGTCAATACCATATGGTATAAACTGGTAAAAAATGGCTCAATTTTTTTGTTCGAAAAATATATTAAAGTGGATATCATTTTGAAGAGCACAATTAATCTGATCTAACTGTGCAAAAAAAATTAAATTTCGACTTAAAATGAGTGAGAAATCGTCCGTCAAAGATTAAAGAGGGGAAATTAAAGGCTTTCCAAGAGAGAGAGAATGCTGATGTCATGCTGATGTGGACGGATTACTCATGGTTACTCACCATAAGGTCACTGACCTGATCCATTCCCGTAACCAATGGTTACTAACCGATGAGTAATTAAATCTGGATCTTTAGATTTAGGTGGATCCAGAAAATTCAAATCTAAGGGTTGTCAATTAAAGGTATTTTATTTTCCCTAGTTTTCTTATTTTGCTCTTATCTTCTTCGTTCTAACTCGGATTTCAATTTTTTTTGCACAGATGGAACGAGTTCGTTGTGCTCTACAAAATGAGATCAATGTTCAATATATTTCGAGAAGCATTTTTTTTACCAACTACATACCATATGGTAACTTCTTCGTTTTTAAGTCGTTTTTGAAAACGTTTGCTCAGAAGGAACGAGTTCATCATGATCTATTGGATCTATAAATTTCTGGGGAAAAAATAATGGATCAACAAATACCATACTTTACCACTATGGTATGTGATTGGTAACTTGTGGTAACTTGTAGTAAACAATGATGAAAGTCGTAAATGACAGTTAATATACTCCTACTATCATGTATTCATCTTTCTTACCATATTGGTATGTTCATACCATCATGGTACGCTTTCTTACCGTATGGTATTAAATTGGAGCATACCATATGATAATGACTGGTAAAAAAATTTTCAATTTTTTTGTACTAAAAATATATAAAAGTGGATATCATTTTGAAGAGCATATTTAATCTGATTTATCTGTGCAAAAAAAATTAAATTTCGACTTAAAACGAGAGAGAAATCGTCCGTTAAAAATTAAATGTGAAAAGATAAAAGACTTTCCAGAAGAGAGAGGCTACTGATGTCATGCTGATTTGTACAAATTACTCATGGCCTAGAACACCTCGTTATGCATCTAAAATTTAGGTTGCATTTGTTTGTTGGATGTGAAATATGAACATGATGAATATATAATTACATATTTGGAAAAAAAAAATTGTTGTTTCGTTCTTGTTATTAATAAATGACATAATAGATGTAAAGTTATTCAATGGGTTAAATATCATCCAACCCAAGTTATAAGAATCAGAGTGAATTAATCGGTCAGATCAGTAAAACCGCCGACCATTATAATAATGGCTTGACCCGTTTGGTTAGACGGTTAGCAATGGACAACATAAATTAATTTATTTTTTAAAATAATTTCAAGCTGAATTGGCTGCATTGCTGGCTCTATATCATGAGTCATGACAAGTTAAGTAAGGTTTGATCATAGTTTGGTAAACTGTTAAATCTAATGGGCAATAGAAAATTTGCAAACATAAATCGACATCAAACATTAATATCATAGGACACAACTACATATCGAAATCATAGAAATATAATTGATACAAAACTTAAACTACAGATCCTTTATTGCATTAGCCCTTTTTATCTATGGTATTGATTTTCTTAACAAACTTTGTACGTAAATGTTTTAAATTTCATAATTATCCATAATTATTTTTTGGGTTTATATGTATATTTCTCAAACATGCCCCTACTATAAATCACATCAAATCTACCCTTATAATATTAAGCACTTCTCAAACATGCCCTTCTATCTATTTTTCCGTCCCACAATCGTTAGTCCGGTCCAACCTGATTTTGGACAAAACGATCTGATGTAAATGACAGGGTGAATGACAATTTTACCCTCCACTCCAACATCATCGTTGCCAAAATCCCATTCCCTTTGTTTATCGTAGCCTCCAACCTCGATCCAATTTATCATTTGTTTTGCTAAATCGGTCGCCTATCCCTATTGGATCTAGTCTGAAGATAACGATTGATTCCCCATCAGCCTAATCTCCGAACTTCTTCTCTCTATTTCTAGGATTACCAACCCAATTTTTTATTGTCGCTCATAGTTTTGCAGAGCTACTAACCAGATCTGCTTCTCACTCTTCCATCTAGTCGCTCGCAATCACCACTAGCCATCTCGATCGAGATTTGGTTGCTAGCTCACCCATCATTGGTGTGTGTAAAATGAAGGAGAAAGAGATGCATTCTTTGCAAAGTATTAAGTTAGCGGTGGTATAATTTTTGTTGTCGCCATCACTAGGGGGAAAGAAAACAGAGGCTTCATTTTTCAGATTAAAAAAACACGGAGATTCTTCATTTTGAAAATCGAAATCACATATTATAGTTGCCCATTATCAGCTTCGAATGGTTGCTCGCAAGTAGAATTAAAAATTAGGGAATTCTATTTTTCTTTTAGGGATTTTTTTCTTGACTGAGTTCTTTGTTCATCTGAGAGGAGAGAGAGGTTTCAAAATGGAAGAAAGCCGGTTGAGGTTGCCAATGGGATTTTTTTTATTGACTGAGCTAATATGGGAGGGGATCCGTAGATGGATGACGACGATGCGATGGCGGTGACATTAGGGGAAACATACAGTCGCAGTCGCTGGAGGGTTGGGAGTGGGGGTCGCCCCAATGGAGGAAATCGATGACCAGGTTAGAGGCAGAAGCAACCATCGGTTCGATGACATCAAGGTGGGGTGGTGGCTGGTGGTGTGGGGATGATCAGAGAGGGATCGGGGACTGCTAGAGGGAAGGAGTCGATGTGTGTGAGAGATTTTTGGGGGCGATGATATTGGAGCTATAGGAGGGTAAAATTGTCATTCACCCTCTCATTTACATCATATCGATCGTTTTGCCAAAATCAGGTGTGACCGGGTTGAAGGTTGTGGGACGGAAAAATAGGTGGAAGGGCATGTTTGAGAAGTGCTTAATAATATAAGGGTAGGTTTGATGTGATTTATAGTAGAAGGGCATGTTTGAGAAAAATGCAAAGTATAAGGGTATAATATACTATAACCCTTATTTTTTTTATGGGCTATCAACAATTTTTATCCAACACTTGGTAGTTACCAATGTTGAAACTAAAAAATAAGCTCACTGTACAAGCCTTCCTTCAGAAAGCTAATTATCCATAATTATTACTAGTTTTGTGCCGCCCGATGAGCGGCGAGTCTTGCTTCGCCTGCCTTCTCCAGCCGCTTGCACTACGAGGCTGTGATGATGCTACCTATTGGAAGGGATAGTGTTGCTGCAATCAACATTGTAAACCAATGCATGCATGAATTCACGAGGGTAGCAAGGGGAAGGGCTAGTCCTCTTTTGGTTAATGGAGTAACAATACGTTTCTCATGGAAGGAGGAAGGGATTTGGTTAAGAATGGTGGCATAACAATGGTCTGCGTACATTGTTTAATGCTCTTGAAACCATGGGTAATTGTTCTGTATAAGGAGGCGAGATTGCGTATATGGACGCAATATGGTTGGCTGGTAGTGCGAATCTGTGGAGTACAACAATCGAGTCAACTGAACACATAGGCCGGGAATGTCAACTGATTAATGAGGTGAG